AAAGGGCGAAGGAAGGAGGCCTTTGTTCTTATCTTTTATTGGATTTTGTGGCACGTAGTGCACCAGTTCTATGTATTCTGCCTTTCAAAAAAATTGTTTTTGCTTCTGCACAATACCTTCACCACTATAATCAAATCATATGTACTGGTCTCTGGCTGTCAGTTCCTAGAAACTGAGCTGGTTCCCCATACGTCGAATAATATATATATATATATATATATATATATATATATATATATATATATATATATATATTCAAATGCATGTTATAAGATCGCTACAAATGTAGGAATTTACTTTCGACAACTCTGGTGTTTTATCAAGTTTTTGTTTATTGGAATTTTATTCCATGTGTACCAATCCTGTACTTGCATATATATATATATATATATATATATATATATATATATATATATATATACAGAGAGAGAGAGAGAGAGAGAGAGAGAGAGAGAGACAGAGAGAGAAGCAGGGTGGAGAACGAGAGAACGTATGAGATAATTTTAGCTGACGTTAAGAATTAGTACACAAAAAATGACTTCGTGAAAAAAGCGTAGGACTTGGAAGGAATTTGTTATGCGTCCATTGCATTTTCATTGCTAAATGAATAAAAATATGTGCTTGTACAAGTATTCCATTTCTAAGAACATTTGTGTGAAAAGGAGTGATTCGGACGCCAATGGCATCCCGGCACGTTACATAATGATTTCTATGGAACGAAGGTAAATGCGTTGACAAACAGATCAGGAACAGGACATTGGAGTGTGCTTGTAGGCTCCTAAGCGCAGGTGTCTTTACTTACGGATGCGTCTAGATCCCTTTCATCACCTCATCTTCTGCTTCGTTTAGTGCCGTTCCTTTCATTAGGCTAAAATGACGGGAAAATCGTTTGAGAGTATCGGATGTACTTAGGCTTCTTCTGGCGGAAGACTGTAGAATTAGAGAATGAAATGAAGTACAGGTTGAACGAAGGTAGACATTGATGTACAATTGAAATAAGTAGGTACTGGTAAATACGTTGGAATACATATACCACACACACGCACACACACACACACACACACACACACAAACAGACACACTCATATATATATATATATATATATATATATATATATAAGAGAAAGATAGAGAGAATGAATCAGAGAGAGATAAGCGGACGTAATTGAATGCAAATTTGCGAATGTAGAAGTTGAAAGAAATCAGAAAGAAATTAATACACACACAAATATATATATATATATATATATATATATATATATATATAGATCGCGGAATGGATTTTTTAAATATTAACATATTTTATTGCTTAAACGTTATTTTTAGTGGATACCCATATTTGAGTAGATGGTTTGTTTGTTTATTAAACAAAACATTTTTTTCCATCTACCGGACTGAATATTCGAGAAATTTTATGAGAAAAACATGCGCCCTCAGGCAGGATTCGAACGTCTCCAAGTTGTTGTTCACCTCTGCCGTAGCGAGGTATTGAACTCACAGCTCTTTGGATCAAGTGACCAGATTACTTCAGTCGACGTTTTTATCCATTGAGCCATGTGCCCTGAAGTTGAGCTAAAGGGAAATAACTGATACCGAAATATCCAGAAGAGGCATGGCACATGGAACTAGAACAATCTACTTCGGCCGACGAAATAAAGAGTTCGATCGAAATTCTAGCCACCTGAAGAAGATAGGAGCGTACAACGACCGAAATGTCAATGTAAATAGTGTAAATAGGTTTAACTTAGTTTGTCACAAGACTGCAAGTATGGATAGCCTAAAGTGAATCATATTCAGTAGAGTAAGAATAAAAGATCAAACCTTTACTTTCTAAAATATTCGAAGCCGATAATCTGATGCTTATTTAATCTGTGATATATTCCAGACATTGTTATTGAATGGAATCTAATCAGTCACCCCATATTAAGTAATAGGCTTGTCACTTTGTACGGTGGAGTAATGGATAGCGGCTCGGATTGAGGAATCAGAGTTCGAATTCCAGTCGAATCCATTACATTTACTTACGTGCTAATACCCTTGGGAAAGGTATGAACCCTCTTCTTCCCCCCAGTTATGGGCAAATAGCAGAGCAGACCGAGTTCTTTAGCCTTGGATGACAACTGGTCTACCGCAGAAAGAAAGGGCAACCTACTCTAGGAAAAAATCTGCCTCGTCAGTCATGTATCGAAAGATACATGATCGCCTGAGCGTGTATCACGCATGGCACATAACTGACTGACTTAGTGCTACGAGTAGTAGTGCTGGTGGATTTTGTGAAAGTAGCATTGTTGCCACACTATATTACAAGTAACTGAGTTTTAAGATCATGCTACATGATCAGTCTTCTCAAATCGTGTTACTTGTCAGATTGTGTTACAAGTAACAGTGACGAGTGATCCCGTTAAAAATAGAATGTTGCAATATTCTATTCCAAATAGAAATCTGTTCCAAGTAGCAGCGTTACTAGATTCTATTATAATAACTGTATTGCCGGATGTTTTACAAATATTAATGTTGCTATAATTTACAGGATTGCCACATTGTGTTACAAGTAGCAATTTTGTTGTATTCTGTCACAGGTAAAGTGTTACCAGACGGTGTTACAGAGTTGCCGTACTCTGTTACAAGTAACAGTATTGCCTGATTCTATGACCAGTATCAGTGTTGTCATACTCTGTTACAAGTAACAGTATTGCCAGATTCTGTTACAAGCAAGAGTGAGAATCTTACTGCACTCTGTTACAAGTAACAGTGTTACCACATTGTGTTATAAGTATCAGTATTTTCATACTCTGTTACAAGTAACAGTGATGCTAGAATTTGTTACAAATAACAGTGTGGTCATACTGTCACAAGTAACAATGTTGTTTGATTGTATGCCCAAGAGCAGTGTTGTCATAAGTGAGTCTTGCCGTACTATATTGCAAGTTATATTGTTGCTAAAATCGTGATTCCATACTCTGTTACATGTAACAGTCTTGCTAGATTGTGTTACAGGTAACAGCATAATCATGCTTTGTCACAAGTGACAGTGTTGCTACGAGTAGCAATGTTGGCCAGTGCTTGCAAGTAACAGGTTTGCATATGTTACAATTAGCAGTGTTGTCTATTTTCGTAGAAGTATTGTGTTTTTTTTATCAGTATTTTCATAATGTATTACAAGTGTCATTACTGCCAAATTGTTTTGCAAGTACCAGTATTACCCTATTGTTTTAAGTATAGAATTGGGCTTTAATTGAAAGTTTAGTTTGGTTTAAGAAATTTTAAATTGACTTTTTTTCATTAGTAGACAAGTTAGCCAAGTCTTTTTTTTTTAAAGAATTACTCTAAAATAATCGCTCGTACCGAAATTAAGAATTGATTGACGCTTTGAAAAGTAAATAAATTCAGTACCAGAGTACAGCTGATTTAAGCAATTAAGTTTTTGGCAGAATTGTCCATCAGAAGCCTCACCTTGTGTTTGCCTTTCACGATAAGACAAACAGTTGTTTACTGACAAATAGGTACCCTGCAAGTTAAATATTTTAAATATTTTTTTTTAAATTTAGCGATTGAAGATTCTTTAGAAAAGGTTTTCGTTTTTGAACAAACAACCAGGGAAACAGAAACAAAATAGATATTTGTGAAAACAAAATATAATAACTGCTTTCAATTTTTGTACTCGCGTTGGGAAGTGATGGATAACGGTTCAGATTGAGAAATCAGAGAGCCGAGTTCAAATTCTAGTCGAGTTCGTTTCATTCATAAGTGCAAATACCCTTGAGAAAGGTACGAATCCATCTCTTCTCTTCTGAGTCGCAGGAGCGTATCACGTATGGCACTTAACTGACTGAGTATACTGGGGTAAAAGATAATTAAATACATGCTCCATATATCCAGCTGTGTACTAAGAATAGCTGAAACTGGCACAAGGCCACAAGTGGGTGATAGCCTGCGTAGTCTGAATTCAGTGCAATAGGCATTTTGTATATGATTAACAGCATGGCCCGGCGTTGCCTGTGCTTGATTCAAAAATCGTACGACTCATACAACAATCGCTATCACTTGACTTAAAATATTTTTGTCCTTCCTTGCCTTTCAAGGAGTGCCCTTTGCCGTGCTGATGTTGTTACATGCCTTACTTCTTGCCTATCTCACAATGCGAATTTTTTTTAGCTCTATACTAAACATTAAATCTGTTACAAAAAAAGAACTAAACAAAATGAACACAAAACGATCAGCTTTAAAAAAATGACTTGTAACTGGAAAAACCGAATGAAAAAAGAATGTTAACAACGAATACTTTTTCACACCCAACTTAGTTTTGCGGAACCAGAATCAACGTTGAGTTTAAGCAAGCGAATGAGCCAATTGGAGTAAAGTGCCATGCAGATTTAAATTTTTCCCACTTGTGACTAATGCAGCTATCGCTTTTTGCATGCTAGCATTCTAGTTAACATTCGTGTCAGTCAGCTGTTGGCTCTCACGCTGGCCAGTAGAAAATGACCGCAAACTACATGAAAACTGCCTTAGAAGCATGAAAAAATCGATTATTTCCACTATCGATGAGAGTTGGGAAATGCAAAGTCGGTCTAGGCCTTCCCGCTAACTTGGAGTATGTGCATGTAAATTTTGGTGCAAATCCGTCGAAAATTGCGGCCGTGCATTCATCACACACACACACACACACACACACACACACACACACATCCTACCTTTTATAGATAGAGATTATGGCTGTACGAGGGCAGCTACCAAATAAGCCTCGGTGGATGATGTGGTAAGCTCCATCAACGCCCAGAAGCCCGATAGTACCTACAAGATTGATTGTAGTCATTCATAGTTTGCGCAACTCAGTGTGGACTTTGAACATCAGAAAGACTATATTCAATGACAAGAATCAGTTAATTGGAGACTACCTGGGGCACATACGATTCTAGAAGCCTGGTGGTAAGACACCTGAGGGTTCGTTAATGTCTAAATCATGTTACAATAACTTCTGTCATTGTCAACATAACCAGATGTTCCAAAGTACCCTCCACCTATCTATCTATCTATCTATCTATCTATCTATCTATCTATCTAAATCTGTTCATATCTATCTATCGAGAAATGAAAGTATGGGTAGAAAAGAGTTTGCTGTTTACATAGTGTTATTTTGTAAAACATTTATTTTTCTGACTCTTCGGGATTTTGGCGATCATGGTTTTCCATATTTTCCTGTGATTTTTAGTGCTTAATAACATGTCTTTTTGTTGTCTCTTCTAAACATATTTCCGCCATCCATTGTCTCAAGCGTAACAAGTATAATTCTTACCATATTGTGTTACGAGTAACAGTGCTGACAGATTGTGTGACAAGTAATAGTGTTTTAGCTCAAGTAGATTATTCGTTGTTTTCCTCTGTCTCTCTTGCCTTTATTCTGTCCTGTGAGTATCAAATTTACCAATCCTTCTTTCCTCATTATATGCCTTAGAAATTTCAACTGTCTCTTCCTGATGTTAAGTATATTTATCCTTTTTGTTTCAATTTTCCATGTTATTCTCAGCATCTTTCTGTAGAACCACATTTCTGTTACTTCAAGTCTCTTCATCTGGGATGAGATTGTCCAGCATTCAGTAGCATGTAGGAGGACTAATATTACATAACAGTTCAGTACGCTTTTCTTTGTTTCTAATGAAATGTGGAACGCTACATATCAAATTAAAATATAAGTGACTTCCTTGTGTAGAACGCTATTAAAGTGCTTGACTGATTCATGTATTGCACGGAAAGTTAGGTCACTGTGTCGTGCCAGAAGACATTTCTCGTCAGAGTTCAACTTACACATCTACAAATCTACCGTTCGTCCTTGCATTGAATACTGTTGCCATATCTGGTTTGGTATCCTAGCCGTTCATCTCGACAAAATCCAAAGAACGATCTGTAATGGAATCGGCCCTGAATTGGCTTTTCAACTTCAGACACTTTCTCACAGACGTGACGTGGATTATCTCTGTCTATTCTAAAAAATTTTCATGGCAACTATTTTGACGGTTTTTTTTCCCCTGGTGATCGGATTACGTGGGTTTAAACGTCATACTAGATTGGCATCTAGGTCCCACCCTTTTACTGCTGAATTAGTTAAATGTAACCGTCACTTCGACTCCAAGAGTTTCTTTTTCTGCACTCCCCGCCTGTAGAACTTCCTTCCGTTGCCTTGCTTCCCTGATAGCTACAATCTTCAAAAATTTAAATGCAACGTCAAACACCATCTTCTGTTGATTTGATATCTGTCCTTTTTTCTTCCACCAATCCCCCTACACCCACTATTTTTTCTAACTTTGCCTCTCCGTAACTCCCCTGCATGTTAGTGGCTCTCCTTCCTTGTTTGGGGGAAAATGCTTATATATATATATATATATATATATATATATATATATATATATATATATATATATATATATATTCTAGCTTTAAATAACCTGCAAAAGGGTTGATAAACCGTAAAAAAGGCATCAATCAAAAATTAAAACCATAAATTCCTTAAAAATCTATTTATCTTTTCAATAGTCACTTTTAATATCTATATATATATATATGTGTGTGTGTGTGTGTATGTATATATATATATATACACAAATATATATATATATATATATATACACACACACACACACACACACATATATATATATATATATATATATATATATATTTCAATGTCTATGTTTATCTGCCAAAAATATGTACATTTATTCCAGGCATGTAAGTGTGTGTATGTGTTTGTGTTTGTGTGTGCGTGTTGCCGTCCGTCTGTGTCTATGACAGAGAAAGTGAGAAAAAGAGAGGAGAATGTGTATGTGTGCGTGTCTTTCCGCGTGAGCGTCCGAGTGTGTCTATTATTGGCAAAGGGGGAAAAAAGTATAGTGTGCATATGCGCGTATGTGAGTGTGCGCGCGCGCGCGTGTGTCTGTGAAAGAGAAAGTGTGAAAAAAAAAGGTAGGATGTGTATATGTGTGTGTACAGATTATGTTTTAACTCATTATTGCATCTATATTTAAATGGAAAGTTAATATCTGATATTTTTCAGATCACAATAAAATAAAATGAAAACACGCGATAGAAAATGAAAACCCAGACGCATGGAGTCGTTGTATTTTCATCAAAGTTCTCGTTGAAAATTGTCCGAAAAATTTTTTGCAAGCTTGATATAAAACAACATGGATTTTTTCATAGATGAGCGTAAATATAGACATTATATATGTAATTAGAGATTATTCATAGTTTACTCATTGCTTAATTCTTGTAATTATTTATTTGCTGACTTATTCTTTCTCCAACGTTTATTCTTCCGCGATGTGACGCACTTCTTTTCTTGACCACTCTCCTGATCACATAATATGTAATATTTTGTTTAAGCCCATTTTGTACGTACGACAATCCAGATCAGAGAGGCAACACTTTTATATCCATATGGTCTTCATTCACCCAGTCAATCATGCTCTTTCTATTCCCTCATGTGACGATATATTATCTCGTACATGACTATTTTCCTATCTTTGCTGACACGGCCGCAATTGTTCATGATCCAGCTTGCTGAACGGGTTAGGGGACCACATATGTTCATTAATCGATCATTATTACTGAAATTAGATTAGTCGAAGCGCTTGACTGTCAGTAAATGAATCAGCGTTCTTTGTAAGTAGGTGTGATGCGCTCCAATGATCAGATAGCACTCGTCCAGTTCCGGTTGCCGGATTACTACTGTCGATAACTTCAACGGCTGCCAGATTGTCCTATATTTTGATTTGGTCTGAATCTCAGGGATATGGTGTTGCGGCTGTTATAATTACCTTTCAAATCTCTTCAAATCTGTGTTTGCGCACGCGCAGAGAATATTCTGAGGTGGGGATAAATAAATTGTTGCTCTCATTTCCTCCTTGTAATTCTGGCGAGGTCTGAAATGATTCGGTGTTTGGATTTTCATCAGACATATACGACTTTGCAGACTTTTATAGTTCCTCTGTTCAGATGAAGACAGAGTTTGAAAGACGGTTTTTTGATGGATGAGAAAAAAAAACTGTTGATATTTTTATATGCTGTTGTGAAACGATCAGCGCAGGTATGCAATTTCCTATTCGAGAGGTATGGGATATCCAAGTTTAGCTTTGAAAACGTTAAAATTAACAATCCATTGTTTGCCCCAGTTAACAACAGAATAAATATCATTTTCGAGTTTTCCTTTATCGAATCTTTATCGAATCTTACTTCATCAGACTTACCATTAAGACAGGAGTAAATCATCGAGTGTCATTGGCATAGATACTGAGTCGAGAACTGATGACATCGGTAACGTCGTTGATAAAAAGTAAGAACAAGGTAGGTTCAAGAACAGTGTCCTGGGATACACCTGCATTTATATAGAAGGATCTAGATGAGTGGCCGTTGAAGACAACCTTCATTTCATGATTTGATAAAAAAGATTGAATCAAATAAGAAATTCGGGCAGAAATACGTTAACCTTTGTAACTGTAAAGAAGACTAGCATGCCGAACTATGTTAAACGCCATCCAGATATCTAAATCAATAGTCCGAGCTTCCTCATTCTTATCTAAAGCTTGATGAGAGTAATCGTTAACTTCAAGAAAGAAATTCGGATTACCAACACACAAACAGAGAATGTCTCATATCGAGAATATTTAACATTGAACATGAAGAAAAATTAATTATTTTTAATAATATGTGGAAATCTCCACTTTTACCTGAAGACGGTCGCGAGACCAGAAACACGTGTCGTAAAATTATGTAAAACAAAGCATAATATTTTTTTCTAAATAAATCCACATTACAACCAAAAACGTTTGCGGCACCTCTCTTCTCTTCTTTTTTAATATACATACTTTTCTCTCGTTGGAACCACTACATTATATTTCTTATATATATATATATATATATATATATATATATATATATATATATATATATATATGTGTGTGTGTGTGTGTGTGTGTGTGTGTGTGTGTGTGTGATTTCCGGTCATGACTGATTTTTTCAAGCTTTGTTATGAATCTCACCCAGGTCATTTAACCTTGCCATTTAAATTGAGGAGAGGTTGCGAGAAAGAATTAAGTGCCATAAACAAAAAAGGAATATGTCCAAGATGTTTCTTTCTGTTGTATTTGTCAGTAAATTTATAAAAGAAATAAAACGTGTTTCCCTTTACGCCAAGAATATCCTAAGTATTTACTATATTCAGATCAAGTTTTAGTTTAGAATTAAACAGAGATATTATTATTCTCTTAATCGATTCTTATTGTGCGATATTTGTGAGTACCATAAAAGCAGAAAGCAACAAACTCTATCGGGCACTTAATGTTTGCAAAACTATGCTGAATGATTACATTTAGTAAGCCAATAAATAAAATGACTGGATATTTAAATTTTTAAAATCATTTCACCTCAAGCAAAGCGATAATGCCACTAAGACGTAAGATGATAGTGGGAGTGGAAAGGATGAGAAGACTTTAGTGAAGAGAAAGGACAATAAAAGAACAGGTTTCAGGGAGACAAAAGATTGCGATTAACGTTTCATTTAAATCTTTGACAATTTTATGAGGAAATAGAGCTTGAGAAATTTGGTATTCACAGGACAGACTGAAGACACGACGGACAGAAGAAAATAATGCATAACCTACCTAGAGAGCTTGAGTAAATGGATGGCGGAGCAATGTTTAGGAGAGATACCAAAAAGATAAAATTTATTGTTAATACTGTTTATCATAAACAGAGAACTTACCTAAATATTATATATATATATATATATATATATATATATATATATATATATATATAAAATGGATAGGAACATGTGGAGACCATGACTGCCAACATCCTAAAGTGATTAGGAATGAAGAAGAAGAAGAAGAAGAAGAAGAAGAAGGTGGCGGCGGGGAAACAATACATAGGAAGAGAGTTCCACCGGCGACAAAGGCGACAAAAGAAACTATTAGAATAAAAATTATGGTTTACATCTAGCGATTTCAATAGTTTTCAACGATTGATTCTGTACTGTAGTTTTAATATAACATTTTCAGAGACATTGCCAAGATTTGGTTGGCCGTGTTGCTAAACTAATACATTAAACTGATTAGAATGACTT